CTTAGCTGGAGGAGGGCAAGCGATTGTCGCCTCACCGCACAGGCTCCATAGGAAACGAATGGAGAGCGAGCGACGTCGCCTCCCGTGTGTCGAGCCCATTACTCAGGAAACCTAAGCCTAACTGTAGGATTTATAAAAAAGTACAGTTTTAAGCCTAGTCTTACAGTAGACAGAGTGTCAGCCTCACGAACAGAAACTAGAAGTTGGTTCCACAAGAGAGGAGCTTGATAACTGAAAGCTCTGCCTCCCATTCTGCTTTTAGAAACTTTAGGAAACACAAGTAAACCTACAGTCTGAGAGTGAAGTGCTCTGTTAGGAAAATATGGAACAATAAGATCTTTAATGTAAGATGGAGGTTGGTTGCTGTTAGCTTTACATTTTACAAACAAGTTTCAATTTTATTTTGAATTTTAAACGAAGCTCATGAAGAAAAGCTAAAATTGGAGAAAATTTACTTTCAATAAAAGATGTACAGTTGTTGCTTCAGCTTCTGTATTTTCTTTGAATGTATAAACATCTGTATGTTTACTGCTAGTGTTTAAACAGAACAATATATTTGAAAAAGAAAAAATTGTATAACACAAATGATTGTAAATTAAAATTAAAATAATTTCTCTCCCATGTCAGATGACAGAGAACCAGGTTCGTGACCGGGCCCGGGAACTGGAGGAGCTCCAGGAAGCCGTCCGGAAGCACGGCAGTGGGAGGGAAGACCAGTCGGAGCTGGAGGCGGAGCAGCAAGTCCTGCAGACGGAGTTCCAGCAGCTCCTCACACCTCTGTCTGAGCGCAGGGGCAAACTGGAAGCAGCCAAAGCTGTCCATCAGTTCTACAGAGACCTGGCTGATGAGCTTGTAAGCATGGAGTCATGGAGTTTGCTCACACAAAATGACTGATAATACAAAATTAGAATAACAAGGGTCAGAATTTAACTGGTGTTCCTCATTAGCAGCAGCTCTTAAATATGTAAGAGAACAGGAATTTATTGTGGATACTGGACAATAAACTAGCACTGTTTGGTATTTAATATAAAATGGTTAATGGCTTGAACTTATATAACGCCTTATCAAGTCCACATGGACCCCGAAGTGCTTTACACTTCACCCATTCACACTCACAGATGGTGGTAAGCTACAGCCACAGCTGCCCTGGGGCGCACTGATGGAGGTGGGGCTGCCAGGCACTGGCATCAGTAGGCAAGGTGGGTGAAGTGTCTTGCCCAAGGACACAACGACTGACCCCAATTTACATTGCTTGTATTCCGTCTCTGCTCCGCTCCGACCTCTGCAGCAAATACGCACCCATTATAATCAATGAGAGTGTTTACACTGGCTGCGCACGGCGGCGCAGGGCGGCGGTGAGCGGATGGCGATCCATCAAAATTAGAACAGATCCTATTTTTGCCAGATGCTGGAGCAGCGCCGTAGTCAATTTTTAAAGATTACGTCGCACCAACAGGAAAAGAAACAAGCACAACATCCGTATTTTCAAAATAAGACACTATTCGGCGGAATAATTTGTCGGAATAATGTCAAAATTGCAGCTATATTAATAAATATATGGATATGTTTCTACACAAATGCTGTCAGAATGTATCGTTCTGTTTGGGAAGCTGATAGAAACGTAGCATGAAGCATATGTGTACACACACGATACACGTGGATTTTATTTTGAAATCAGAAGTTTCAGAAAGACTATAGCGAGACAGTTTCAACATACACTCACCGGCCACTTTATTAGGTACACCTGTCCAACTGCTCGTTAACACTTAATTTCTAATCAGCCAATCACATGGCGGCAATTCAGTGCATTTAGGCATGTAGACATGGTCAAGACAATCTCCTGCAGTTCAAWCCGAGCATCAGTATGGGGAAGAAAGGTGATTTGAGTGCCTTTGAACRTGGCATGGTTGTTGGTGCCAGAAGGGCTGGTCTGAGTATTTCAGAAACTGCTGATCTACTGGGATTTTCACGCACAACCATCTCTAGGGTTTACAGAGAATGGTCCGAAAAAGAAAAAACATCCAGTGAGCGGCAGTCCTGTGGGTGGAAATGCCTTGTTGATGCCAGAGGTCAGAGGAGAATGGGCAGACTGGTTCGAGCTGATAGAAAGGCAACAGTGACTCAAATAACCACCCGTTACAACCGAGGTAGGCAGAAGAGCATCTCTGAACGCACAGTACGTCGAACTTTGAGGCAGATGGGCTTCAGCAGCAGAAGGCCACACCGGGTGCCACTCCTTTCAGCTAAGAACAGGAAACTGAGGCTACAATTTGCACAAGCTCATCGAAATTGGACAAGAGAAGATTGGAAAAACGTTGCCTGGTCTGATGAGTCTCGATTTCTGCTGCGACATTCGGATGGTAGGGTCAGAATTTGGCGTCAACAACATGAAAGCATGGATCCATCCTGCCTTGTATCAACGGTTCAGGCTGGTGGTGGTGGTGTCATGGTGTGGGGAATCTTTTCTTGGCACTCTTTGGGCCCCTTGGTACCAATTGAGCATCATTGCAACGCCACAGCCTACCTGAGTATTGTTGCTGACCATGTCCATCCCTTTACGACCACAATGTACCCAACATCTGATGGCTACTTTCAGCAGGATAATTCGCCATGTCATAAAGCTGGAATCATCTCAGACTGGTTTCTTGAACATGACAATGAGTTCACTGTACTCAAATGGCCTCCACAGTCACCAGATCTCAATCCAATAGAGCATCTTTGGGATGTGGTGGAACGGGAGATTCGCATCATGGATGTGCAGCCGACAAATCTGCGGCAACTGTGTGATGCCATCATGTCAATATGGACCAAAATCTCTGAGGAATGCTTCCAGCACCTTGYTGAATCTWYGCCAYGAAGAATTGAGGCAGTTCTGAAGGCAAAAGGGGGTCCAACCCGTTACTAGCGTGGTGTACCTAATAAAGTGGCCGGTGAGTGTAGATACCAAAAGTCTTTATATCAATGTTTTCAGCTGTGTTTGGAGTTCGTCTTTCACAGAATTAATTATTTTTTACTGTGACTTCCACATTTATCACTGAATTTATTGTGCGATCTGCATCCTGCACGTCTGTCGGACCGGAGCGGAGGTAGTGTAAACTGGACTTGAAACGCACAGCTGTGAACTGCGCAGCGGAGCGCAGCGCAGCGGAGACGCATGCAGTATAAATCTGGGGTGAGACAGCTGGAATGGGGGACACCCCCACAAACCCAGGAGCCAGGGAGAAGGAGAAACCACACAGAAGACAGGCCCTGGAGCAGTGTGGTTGTCCTAACTGGGCTTTCCTGAAAGCAGACAAGAAACCCAAACAGGACTCCAGTAAACCACCAGGTGAAAAGGAAGACCCCAAATCCAGACCCAGACTGTGGTCGTTCCATACGCTCTTGGAGTTTCAGAAAAACTGAGATGTTTGTTCCCTAAACATGACGTCCCAGTGGCTTTCAAACCACAAAACACATTATAACAAAAAAGGTTCACCCCAAAGATCCGGTCCCCCAGCACAAACAGAGTAATGTTGTGTATGCTGTATACTGTATGTATATTGATACATTGGGGAAACAGAGCAGCCACTGTTCAAAAGAATGAGCCAACACAGAAGAGCTACATCATCAGGCCAGGAATCTGCGGTTTACACTCATCTACAGGCCAGGACTCTGCAGTTTACACTCATCTACAGACCAGGACTCTGCAGTTTACACTCATCTACAGACCAGGACTCTGCAGTTTACACTCATCTACAGACCAGGACTCTGCAGTTTACACTCATCCACAGGCCAGAGGTCACTCTTTCAGGGATGAAGATGTTCTCATCCTTGATAGAGAGGAACGTTGGTTTGAGAGAGGAGTAAAGGAAGACATTTTTGTGAAGAAAAACCATCCATCATTAAACAGAGGTGGAGGCCTTTGTGTCTAATTATCCCCCTCTTACAATGTTGTTATTGTGAGTATGACTCAGCCCCCTGTGAACAATAGGTGATAATCAGGACCCAAATGATTGATTGTTAGGATGGTGGTCCCCATTTACATGTGAACAGTTTTGATTGTCATTGTTAAACTTGTTTGTCCATCATGTAAACGTACTGCTTTCAGTACAGTACGGTGCTGTTTACCTGAAACTGCTCAGACTGAAAAAGTCTCTTGGAGAATAGACAAAACATTTTTTCAACAAATAAGAACTTGTCCAGATGACCTACTCAACATTTATTTTTTTAGGCTTTTAAAATATTCTTTTTTGCTTCCTCTACAAAATAAGATTTTAAAATCGAGATAAAATCTGTAATTTCTTCTTTGTTTTGCTGCTGAAATCCACAGGTGTAGAGATCAGGTGAAAGATTTACTATGTGAGGTGTTGAAAACACTTTGTGAAGGAATAAATTCAGATACTGTGAAGATACTTTTCATGTCTGGTTCACAACAGAGATCTATAAAGCAATTTCTCAGATTCTGCCTTCTCCTTATCGTCGTGATCCTTTTTTTCCTTATTTCCCCTCTCTTCTGTTTCTTTCAGCTCTGGATTGAGGAGAGGATGCCCCTGGCAATGTCACAAGAGCATGGCAATAATCTTCAAACAGTTCAAATGCTGTTAAACAGGAACCAGGTGCGGTATTTAAAATACCTAAGTTATCAAACTTACTTTCATAATAATTGTATTCTTAAAGATCCTTTCTGTGATGTGCAGTTTAACAGCTCTGGCATATTTGTTGTGTTTAATAAACAACAAAGATGCTTTTGCATTGAAATACCCCCAATAAAATCAAACCTTTGTCCCATCTGTGGCATAGTTTTCAAATAAACATGCAAACTCTACTCTAAAACAAGCAGTTTCATCAAGAATAGTGTGCAAAAGTTTTAAAAGTGGTGTGTTATGCAACATTGGCAAAAATTGCTAGAAAAAATGATTGAAGGAAAACGAGTGAAACATTCAAAAACTGAGCCCTCTTTGAGCTTTGTTTTGACATTTTTGCACAATCACAAAAATATTTATAATTTTACAGATTTATGGATGGTGGAGTTTTCAACTTCTCCCTGTATACACGGTTTTCTTCTCCACGTATTCTGGTTTCCTCCCACCCACCAGAACCATACATGTTAGGTTCATTGGTAACTCTAAGTGTAACTGGCTGTTTGTCTCGTTTGTGTCTTCTGCAGTGTTTCCCCTACCATTATACAGGCGGGGCGGCCCCCCCGCCAACGAGACAGCCCGCCCCTCTAAGAATTTCAYGGCATGTAGTCATTTTTATTTAAATAAGGCCAGATCAAGTCAAGAGCTATATTTTTGCGTCCCTCCATATCCAACTCTCGGCAAACTTGGGGAAAAAGATGGCGCAGAGCGAGGCTGAGCGCTGTGTGTGGTCCTCACAAAGATAGGAAGACGTTTGTGTGAGATTAGACACGCAGCTCTGCTTTTAATCACATAGCACTGATGCAACAGCTTTGCAAGCTACTTCTTCTTTGTTTAAAAGAAAATGTGACAGGTGAAGCCACAGCATGGTTACTACCTTATCAATAATTACTGCCTTTTTTCCTTTTTCTGTGGGTGGGGTTTCAGCTTCACGCAGCTGCAGGTGAACACCTCCCGCGTTTCCTGGACTATTTTCCACCAAGGATTACGTCGTATTTTATATTTATTATATGTCTAAAAGCACTTCGCAGCATTTCCCCCCGTGTGTTCACAAAACCGCGACGGATCAGCTGACTGTTTTTAAAGCGAGGGGCAGCGAACCTGTCCACCTGCAGCTCGGCTCTGACCAGCCCGGGAGTTCATACATGTCAACCCCTTCAGACTTTTAACGTGTTTAACGAGCGTCAAAAATTTGTAATTTGCGCAAAAAATCAGTATTAATCACACAGGTGGGGTGGAGGTTCGCTGACCGCAGCTGTGCGGGGTGGTGGGCAGGAGGAGGGGGTCTTTTAAAGGCGTGTCTACATTTGACTTTTATTTTTTCTAAAATCACAGAGTTCTCTGAGTCAGCTTCAGATGTTTGTAGTTAATCATAATATCTTCTAAAGTTAACCAGGTGTTTCAATGTCTTTAAATTACACAATAATTTTACTGGAGAAACTTGTCAGTTTGGTTAAAAAAAACAGTAAAAATATATTTTTTCTGTGCAGAGAACTTCCTCTGCTATAATTTATTTTAAATAAATATATCAAAGCTCCTCAGTTGAAAACACTAAAATTATAGAAAAGTTTAAAAATGTTTAAAAACCTCTTTCCTCAGAAAGTCTTCAAGAACACTAAACTGTAACTTTTAATAAGTACACAGTTTACTCCTATTTAAATAAAAATGTTTGACCTGTTAGCAGAAAGCTTATGGATGCTGGGTGTTGGTTTTTTTTAATCTCTATTTTAAAGAAGAGGATGAGGAG